TTCTAGAGCAGCGCAGAGGAGAGGCGGAAGCGGGGAGGGAGTATGGGCTCCTTGCCCGCTGCCTCCACGCGTGTGCCCAGCCAGTGTGTTGTTAGCTTTGCTCACTTGCTTTCGGCCTTTACAGTCAGCCTGTAGGAGCCCAGGAAGTCTAATTATGGTTTTAGAAGGGGTTGTTAACAATACTCCGATGGATCCTGTTAAAGAGAAAGTAGGGAACAGTGGTGAAATGAAGGCCAGGAGTGCTTATGTCCTTAGCTGTCACAGTTCAAGAGAAAATGCTTCGAGCGACACACACACAAATGGCAGGTTTGACTTCTTTCTAAAATGACAAAGAGAAGCAGTAAGTTTTAAAAATGGGTAAAATGTGCATACTGAGAAACTTATTTTTGTAAGTGCACAGTTTAGTAAAGTGTATTTGTTAGGTTTTAGCAGCCATCGCAGCTGTGTTCTAGAACTTTCTGTCACTCCAGAAGCGAACCGTGTGCACACAAGGCAGCCATTCTCTGTCCCCAGCCCCGGTGTCTGTCCCAGCTTACCTCCGTAGGGTATGCCAACTCTAGATATTTCAGATAGGGCTTGGTTACCTGGCCCAGGAACCCCGGCCGGCTTGCCTGTTCTAGCTGCTCCACGTGGGCAGTCATGCCCTCGGTGGCCCGTCTGACTTCGCTCCCTTCGTGGGTGTTCCAGGGTTTGTCCACATCGTAGCATGTCCCAGTACTCCTTCCTTTTAATGGATGGATAATATTCCATTGTGTAGGGGCCATATTCGTTAGTTGATGGACACTTGACTTGTTTCCATCTTTGGTTATTGAGATTAATACTATTACAAATATTCACGTACAAGTTTTTGTTCAAACATCTGTTGCTAACTGTATTTTATAGGTGCGGAAACTGAAGTACAGAGGTGGTGTCGTAAGTGGCCCGTGGTCACCAGTAAAGGTCGAAGCCTGGATTCAGATCCAGGCGGTCGGATTCACAGTCTGCCGTCTTTAACAGGACTGTGCTGTCCTGGCAGCTGATGGGTCTAGCAAACGCTAATCACCTTTACCTTCCTTTTGAGAAAGCCATTTTTTGGTGTTGACTACCTTTTTTAAAAAATTTTTATTAATTCAGCAAGCCACCAGGTCGTGGACTCAAACCGTGGTTGGCCGTGTGGGAGTGTCCAGTGCCTTACCCACCGTGCCACCACCTGGCCCCGGTGCTGACTGCCTTAAGTGACACGCAGCCCGGGCCCTGCGGTGGGTGCTCTGACTCACCCAGCTCTGTCACACCCGTCGTAGTTTGGCTGTCGCGGCGATCCCCGAAGGCCTTCCCATCGTGGTCACAGTGACGCTCGCCCTTGGTGTCATGAGGATGGTGAAGAAGAGGGCCATCGTGAAGAAGCTGCCTATCGTTGAGACCCTGGGTGAGTCGGCGTTGCATGGGTCAGGCGGGGTCACGTCACCGCTGCAGGTTTGCAGTAGAGGTTTGCATATCGTGTTTGGCTGGAGGCAATGTTGGGTATAGTTTTTATATTGAAGGGAAATAAAAAAATCATATCCCTCGGGGCAGCGGACTCTTTGAGAAATCTTTCTTCATTATGGAATGTGCTTTTTTTTTTTCTTTTTAATTTGCTGCAGAGCATGTCTGCTCACCTGAGAGAGGAGGAGGGGGCAGAGAACAGGAAAGCACTTGCTGGGAGGGTGACCCTGGTGCTGTGCAGCCCTTTCTCATCCCCGTTGGGATTTTGGGGCGCTTACATGAGAGGAGGGTGAGAGAATGGGAAAGCACTCACCGGGAGGGTGACCACGGTGCCTTGCAGCCCTTTCTCATCCCCCGTTGGGGTTTTCGACACGCACGCACGTGTGTGGTGTGTTTTTCAAGGCACCGAGCCTGAGACTTGAGCTGTGCAGTCAGCCAGGTAGGATCCAGCTGCCTTAACCACCATGCCACCTGACTGGCCCCATGGACTGTTCTCATGCCACAGCAGGTGCAGATAACCATCCATGGAGTAAGTGAGACCTTGGGGTAACATTACTAGGCCTTTTTCCGTTTTGACATCTCAAGGAAGAGATGCCCCTGCCGTGGTCTGCACGTAGCTAGGGTCACATCTCAAGGAAGATAGATTCCAGATCCCAAATGCCATGCTTGAGCTGAATTCGCTTATAAGAACAGTAGATATATAGTGGTCATATTGCCATAATATAACTTGATGTGTGGAATACTGCCAGACTTTGAAAACTCAGAATATCAAAAAATGTGTTGAATTTAATTTCTAATTTGCATTTTAAAACCAAGAAGTAGTTTGAAAAATCCTGATTGAAGAAATTTGTGGGTTGATATTTGGGGTCTTCCATACTTTTTTCTAAAGTGTCTATGATGTAAAGTCATCATATAAATCTAATATGGAATATCTTTGTAGGAACTAAGAAAGAGAACATCTTATTTCTAATTGCGGAAACTTTATGATAAAGCGTAGTGAGAGAGGGCACCTCATGTGACCGCGAGTTGCGCTCTGAAGGTCAGCGAGGTGGCAGGGCTAGGGGCCTGCACTCCCTGTGGCTCTTTTGGTGACACGTGATGATGTTCCCTCTAGGCTGCTGCAACGTGATTTGTTCAGATAAAACCGGGACGCTGACGAAGAACGAAATGACTGTCACTCACATATTCACATCCGACGGCCTGCACGCCGAGGTACGCGTTCTTCGCGTTTTTGGTGAATAAACTTGGTGTCGGTCCCGTTGACCACAGCTTCCCTTCCGGAGGGCTGTCACGTGGCCGCAGGCACTCCCTGCTCCTGGGACGCTTCAAGTCCGTTTCGTTCCTGTGTAACTTGTTCAGCCCAGAGACTGCCTCCTCCATGACACCTCTGTTCCCTTTTCTTTACATTGGCATTTTTGCTCAACAGAGAAAGAGCGAGAGACAGGGAGGGAGGGAGGAAGCAACAGTGGGGCGTGGCCACACTGTGGTCCCTTCTCCGTTTCTCTGTCCCATCAGGATTTGGGGCTAAACGCACAGGTACTTGGCATGTTTGACAAACCGTCAGAGCCAGGATTGTAATTGGGGTGGGCTGTTTGGGAACCGATGACAGGGCTGGCCCACATTTGTCATTTTGTCATATCTCTGTATCCGCCTGTCACCAAATCTGGCCTTTTTTTTTTTTTTTTTTTTTTTTTTCTGTAGAGGTTTTTGCCTCAGGGCTGTGTGCTCGCCCCAGCGATAGAGAGACAGAGGGAATGTGGGAAGTCATTCCCTAAAGGGGAGGCCATGCTGCAGTCCCTTCTCCTAAGATTTTGGGCATGCATGCACATGAGCCTAGTGTGGTTTTCAAGCCAGAGGGCCGGGACCCGCTTGAACGGGAGCCCATCATTGTGACGGCTGTGCCATCTGCTGGCCCCAGTTTCTTTCTCTTTCTTTTTGACGAGGCGTCACGTGGCAGCCCCTGCCGTGGTCTGCACGTAGCTAGGATCACAGGCGCTGCTTCTGCTGCTTCTGTCCTGCCCTCCTGGCAGCTGACCCTGGGTCTCCCTGTGGCCCCCAGCCTTAGTCGCAGTACCCTGCAGGCTGCAGGACCTGTCTGGGCCCGAGTGAGTTACCGCTTTGTAGCCAGGGTGCAGTCTGAGTCATCGTCACCTCTCCCATGGCCTCTCACAGAATTTCTGGAGTGGTCATCCTGTACCCTTTCCTTTTAAAGGGAAAAAACAGTTTTTTAACATTTACCTATTCATTGGCTCCATGCGTGAGAGAGACAGAGATAGAGAGCTGTGCCCCCACAGGGTCTTGGATCTCCCCCTGCCCCAGCCAGCCGGGTCGCGGGCCGGGCCGGGCCGGGCCTGCTCGGCGTCTGGTGAGAGCTCCGACGCGCACCTGAGCCCTCCTGGGGCGGTCCTGACAGCACTGCGGTTCTCTGCTGTGCCACTGTCCGGCTATTCTGTGCCCTCTCTAACTTTCCTTTTTTTAATTAATTCATGAAAGAGAGAGAAAGAGGAGCACGTCCCCAGGGTCTGGTCACGCTGTACTCCCCTCTTCCAGCCCTCTGGCCCGTCAGGTCCTGAGTGCTCACACCTTGCCTGGCATGTTCCAGGCTCACCATGCTGGGGACTTGAACCATAGTCCTCACGTAGGATTTGGCTTCTGAGCAGCGCACTGCCACTGCTGCGGAGCCGGCACTCTGCCCGTCCTGATGCCCGTCCCGTGTAGGCAGCTGGAAGAACCCCTTCAGCGCTCAGTGGGAAGCACGAGTATGCGCCAGTGCCCCGTTGTGACCAGGAGCCTGAGCCGGGCCTGGACCCTGTGCTCACTGCCCTCTCCAGCCTGGAGCTCCCTGTGCTTTCCTTGCCCTGGAGGAGTGGGCTTCACGGCTTCATGGCTCCTCGGCTACTCGGCTAGGGCGGAAGTCCGCGCTGGGAGCCGGAGTGTGTTGCCACACTGCCCAGGGGTGACGCCTCCTCGTCCCCTCACTCAGTCCAGCACCCTCCTCTCAGAAGAGCTTTGCTGACCACCCCCAACGTACCTGAGCCAGTGAGCGAGTATATTTAAAAGCTAGTGACGGTTTCCTGAGGGCAGGTCCCCGTGCAGTGGTTCCTGAAGCTGGTGGAGGGCAAGTCTCACCCCAGCCTGCAGGTTTGGACGGCGATGCCCTAACACTCCTTGTGATGGACATGGCATTTTAGAAGTGCCCACCGCTCGTTCACTGAGCAGAGCAGGCAGCAGACAGGTGGACGGAAGCTGCTCAGGTTCATGTAGACCCACTTTTGCGTAGGCGTTAAAGTTGGGCTGTCTGTGTTCAGAGCGTTAAGATGCACAGTGCCGTGGAGTGTGCCCTTTCTGGACTGTACATGGTCCAAGTGCAGGAGACACAGCGTCAGTTTCCCTTCTGGAGAGCTCTCGTTTTATGTGTCAGAGGTAGCCATTGTTAGTTCTTTTCTTTCTTAACTGTTTTGCTTTAATGTGACCTTTACTTCTGTCACGGGTGGTGGTTTTAGCCGTAAAGTGTAGCTGCCTTGCGCCCCACGGTGTTAAGCCAGCGTGTCGCACACAGTGTGAGTGTGAGTTGGCAGTGCTGGGGCTGAGCTCCTCATCTCCGTGAGCCTCGGATCCGCAGCAAATACCTGTTGCCTGGGTTGTGGGTTTGCTCTGAGTGGTAGACGCGGTAGTGGATCCTCGCTCTGAGCGGTAGACGGGGTAGTGGGTCCGCGCTCTGAGCGGTGGACGGGGTAGTGGGTCCGCGCTCTGAGTGGTGGACGGGGTAGTGGGTCCGCGCTCCTCGCTCTGAGTGGTAGACACGGTAGTGGATCCGTGCTCTGAGTGGTGGACCGGGTAGTGGATCCTCGCTCTGAGTGGTGGACGGGGTAGTGGGTCCGCACTCTGAGTGGTGGACGGGGTAGTGGGTCCGCGCTCTGAGCGGTAGACGCGGTAGTGGATCAGCATTCTTCACACACTGTGCTGTGCTCTGTAAGGTCGTGTTGGTATAAAGACGCTTTGTGCTTTACCCTTCCTGTAATACAGGGTCCGCAGGAATCACTGTCGTGCACGAGCCGTCCTCGCGGCTGTCACAGGCTCTGCTGAATGCTTCTCTGCTGTCACGTCGAGTGTCCTCGTGTGCAGCGTGAGCGCCAGGCACAGTTTTGCAGCCACGTCGTCACTGCTTGCTGTTCCCTGAACC